CTTCCCCCACCACCACGCCGCCGGCCGCCGGACAGTTTACTTAGCGAGTACCTTCTCTTTAAAGGGCTCGTGAGTCGTTAATTTTCCACATATTTCAATGCAATTCACGGGAAATCGTAGTTTTCGTCGTAAACTTTATTTTGCGAAAAATTCAGGTCTTAATATTTCTAAACAATTACGCTACGAATAAAAAAAACTTCTTATCTTGGCTCCTGTTGGTCGTAGAGGGTGTTATATAGCTACAATTTTATTCAAATTGTTTATAAGCGAAAATCGCACGGTTTTTTAATGCACAATTTGAGAATGTTAGTATCAAAAAAACGGTGATATTTTTTAATAGGTCGCTTAATTACATCTTTAAGATTACAATGACTCTTTCAGAATCATGTTTGGTTGAAAATTAACGCCTGTAACTTTTGGAGCCTCCGTTATAAACAAATTGAATTGTGTGAAAACTATTGCACCTACAGCTCACACTTTTAAAGTATGACAAAACCCTCAACTTGTCATAGGTTTTATAAAATTTTAAAAACCTTCTTGATTTTTCGCAATAACTTTTTTGTTTAATAACCGATTTTAATTTAACAAGTCTCATTTTGTTGATAATTTTATTCCCTACAAGCTGTCTGAGAGTCACTTTTCGCTAAAATTGGTGGTTTTCTCTGCAAAGTGAAGAAACTGTTTTCCTCACTTATTTGTTTAACCAGAAAAGTTAGCTAATAAAAGTTTTTGACTCACGAGACGAGAGATGTCTTGTATTATGTTCCTTTAGACAATTTTACAATAATCTCGGGGATAGGAGTTTTTTCAAGTTTATCTTTTTTTCGCTAATTTTCCAGGTCTACTACTAGTTTAGAATGTACCTTATTTAAAACACATTTGTCAAAATTGTACATGTTGAAAAACTTTGAATCTACCTAAATATTTATAATTTTGAAAAATTACTTCCACTATGGACTTACTTATGTATTAACCAGTTAAAATATATTGGATGTTATTTAGTTATTTTTTTCTCAGGTTAATTTCAGTAAGAAGCGAAAAAACCGCATGCGCAACGACGAGGCGGCCATAATCGCTTTGAGCAAGTCTAGAAGCCAATTCCTGCACAAGGACACCGATTCCCTGGTGGACAACGAAGCTGTCATAGTATACGACGAGCGCACGGCTTTGTAAATATCCTGATGCCATACTTTAAACGAATTTATGTAGTAACATTTTGAGACTTTTTTAATGAGAAAAGTTATGATATCAATGTAAACTACATATCGTAGAATCGAAGACTCCAGATCGACAAATAAAAAGCTACCAGTAAGATATTAAGAAATTGAAATTGTCGAATATATTTTTCTGTGATAAAATTATTTAGGCTTCTATGAGGATTATTTTAAGTAGGGGGTAATTTGTAAATTAAATTTGGAACTTTTATAAGACTGGGCATTGAATAATTATAAAATATCTGAAGTGTCGTCGAGTATTTCCTCACAATTCGTGCAGTTCTTAAACGTTTATCATACGAGTATGTACTTATAGGACTTCGAAGGCGAAACATTTGCCGATAGCTAATTTATTACCCTTGTAGGATAAGTAGATGTTCTTTATTTTTTGTATATAAAGGGCCTTTCTTGCGCGAATTAGTGGATTTTGTACTTGTGCCCCGTTTTTTGTAAATTATTAACTTAAATATATCGCACCAAAGACGTACGTGTTTTATTTCCCTAGTTACGTTGGCTACACTCCGGCGCTAAAACACTAGTAAGGGTAAGATATATGGGGAATGCGATTCCATGGGAGTATCATCTTAGGGGTTCCAAAAATTGTTAAATATACAACAACATATACACAGTGATTCAGTTATAATGTCATTAATTTTAAGAGAAGATAGGGAAAAATCAGTAGAATACAAATACTTGATTAAAAAAATTTTAAAATGCATATTTACGGCAAGAAACAATATTTTCAAATCATTATTTAAACTCCTTTTCGGACTGTTCCTGGCAGCTGATCCACAAGGGTTTATCAGGAGTGAGTTTTGACCTACCGCATTATTCGGTCACTAACCTAGTTTTTACTGCATTTTTAATATGCAGTGATCGACAAGGATTAAACAGTACAAAAAATTGGTTGGAACGATGTATTTCTAACAACACGAGAATTTTCAAAGAAATTAAAGTGCATTTCTAAAAGCTGTTCCGTATGCATCTGGAGTCGCTGAATATGCGGGGATGATCGGTTTTTGTCTCTGTTATGCAAAAATTGAAAATCTCGAAAACTGGAGAATCTAGAGAGGAACTGAATGCAGTTTTCGATTGGCCAGGGCCGTTATTGTCTACCGGAATTTCTTCAGATTTTCCTGAACTTTAAAAATTTTTGAGAAAATCGAGGGACTATGAAAATTATCAAAAAATTATAGTGCTTATCTAAAAGCAGTATCGTATGCACCTGAGGTCGCTAAACACGCTGGGATAGTCTGTTTTTCTACAAGTGACTCATTGCGAAGAAAAATCTTTATTAGTTTAATATGGTTTTTGATGGTATATGTTCAGGCTCCGGGTTTAACATGTCATTTCTCTGGGTTTTCTGAAAAATTTGTGGTTTCTTCGAAAACATTTCCTACATTTTCTGATTCCTCCGTCCTTTTTTTTTAAACAAAGTAGATATTTCTTGATTAATTACATCTTTTTCGAAAACAATTTGTCTCTTTTTTTTTATATAGTTACTAAAGGCCGTCCGTTCAGCGAATTGTTTAACTAAAGAAGTTTGACTGAACTAGTGCAACCATTCTCTGAGTCTGAACCTCAGGTCTGAACACAGCCGTAATTAGGGTTATCAGAAGACCTGGAGAAATTGACGCCTAAAAAAGTCTTAGATCTCTGAAAAAAAAAGCGATGTACTCAGGAAATATCTACTTCTCTACTCTGACACACCTGGAGCGGAATCAGGAAATATGGAGAAGAAATCACGATTTTTCCATCAAAACCTAGAGATCTGGCAACCCTAGAAAGGCGGCGGCGCCATCTATACATTAAAAGTTCAATTAATTTACCAACATTTGTCTACCTACTAAAGATACCTTCCCCAATTTCTGAGCGAAAGATGGCGATATGAACATTTGCACCATATTTAATGCAGTTTGGTCAATCGTAAGTCGGAAAACTTAATATTAGCTTTGTTCCTAGTAGAATCCAAAACAGTTTCCAACAGTCAGGCGCATGCGCATATGGATATAATGCTTACATAAGGTTCAAAATTCATTGTTTTGAAACAAATGCGATTGCGTCGGACTATTGGAAACTAATTCTAATGCACTTGGAACAAAGCTATTAACACTATGTTTTCTATGATCGTAAGTGAGCGTTCCTAATAATTGATTGGATTGTTTCTAAAAGCCGTTTTACATTGACAATTTATTGATAAATTAATTCATGAAGTCGTTTCATCAAGAAATTGGACAAGTGTAATGCACCAAATCTGCTGTCAAATAACTTCATGAATTTATTCATCAAGTTCATGACGGATTACAACATGGCCGTGTTCTTTAATTTTTCGTTTTAATGCCATGAATTTCGTCGATATCTTACGATTGGTCTGTTTAAAAAATTCTAATCTTTTATTGACTAGGGAATCCATCACATCCACAGAACATGGCCGTGTTCTTTTATTGCTCGTTTTAATGCGATGAATTCCATCGATGTATTACAATTGGTCTGTTCAAAAAATTCTGATCTCTTATTGGCTCTACGGAATCCATCACATCGAAATGATGAATAAAGGCCGGTTTACACGCTACGAGAAATCGTAACGATGTGAGTGACAAATTTATTGCTGCAATAAATCGAAAGAGTGGAGTACTGTTTCCACGTTAACGATAAATCGGAACAATTTCCTTCCATATTTCGTTGTCAACAGCTATCGACCTCAAAAAAACTTTTGCCATGGAGGAAGTAGTGTTGTCGTTGTACATCGGTTGTTTAGCGAGAAAAGTGAAAAAAGCGCGAAAACAGATAACAAAGTGGAGCCGCGAGTGGTTATTAAAGAGAAGAGAATTATCTCATGTGAAGTTAATGAAAGAATTGAGAAATGAACCGAATGACTAGCGAAATTATTTGAGAATGGACGATGAGACTTATGTTGAGTTGTTATGGTCAGCCAAAAACAATCACTGGACTATATCTGATGAATTGCAAATGCAAACTGAGTGAAATCGTAGCGAGAAATACCGGCTACTTGTTTAAACGTTCAAACATGTCGTTACGATTCGCAGAAATTGATCCCGGCCGGCATCAACCATCCAACCCAACTCCCATTCCAATAAATCGCTACAATTTCCTATTTACACCCAACGATAAATCGTAACGATTCGATTGTTACGATAAATCGTAACGATTCGATTGTTACGATAAATTGCTAGCATTTATTGTAGCGTGTAAACCTGCCTTAAAAGAACACGGCCTAACTAATCACATCGAAAGTAATGAAAAGATGAATAAAAGAAAACGGTGCTTGTTCTAATTTTCGCGAAGTTCAGAAGTACCAACCCAACAAATAAACACAACAAATTTCCAGCCTCAGATCTCAGATCAGTAATAACTAATGAGGTTATGTTATTGGAAAATGTAAATAATTGTGTGCGTCATACTACTTTTGTACTGTTTTTACTGATTTGTTACTTACAAAAACTAATATTTATATAATATGTGTCAAAACGGTATCGCTGTTGTACCACTACAATTATGAGTGGAAAGGTGACATTTTTGAAATGTATTTGCTTTGATTTGTTGGCAGAGCTAATTCATGTATCAAATAAATGCACGAAGTCTGTAGCAGTGTAAAACCAAACCGTTTACAAATAAATTCGTGAATTAATTAATCAATAAATTGTCCATGCAAAACAGCTATAAAGGCAGTAAAATTTTCAAAAAAGTGCTCTTCTAAAAGAGGTTTTGATAATATATTGCTGTACATAGAATGAAAAGTCGCTTCTTTAACGTGATCGAGTTGGGTGTATCGAAGAAGAACAGACTTTTTCTGACTAGGGGAAATGTTTCGTTCTCATTTCTTTTTATTATGAGCCGTTAAACTGCCTATATTGGTAAATACAGAAATTATTACTATTCTATAAATAAAGGAAGATTTATTTATAATTGTTAACTTTTAACGAAAAAAATCCATATTGTCGAAAACTGGAACAGAGACTAAATATAATTTTGGATTGGTCAGGACAGTTATACATGTTTCACCGGATTTTTTCGTTTCTCTCCGAGTCCTTGGCAACCCTTGTATTTAACTTTGCCTTTGTAAAAAAAGATGACGTGGGTGTATTTTTTCCTCTTATATTACTTCCTATGTAGTGCGCAGTAAAACCAGCAATGATTGCAGCATGGGTTTATTTCAAATAAATAATACAAATACGAGGATAAATCTATGAAAATTTTACAAATAGTCAATCACTTATTTACATTATGTACAATTTTAAATTTTTGGAACGTACACAATATCACTAACACAAGACTGCGTCACAGAAATAAAAATGATAAAATACAAAAGCGATGACAAGTACTTTTCCCGCTATTTAACCCTTTAAAATTAAATTTCACTGCCTAGGAATAACTGGAAGTTTCGACTTAAACGAAAGACAGTAGATTAAAAAAATACAATAAAATATTGGCTCAAGAAAGAGGCGTTAAAATCATGGAATATCCGCTTGAAGCCGTAGTCTCACAAGTCCCCGAGAAAAATCAAGTAGTCTCAAAGCAACCATCAACTATGGGGAAAATTCTTTGGTTTCTGCGACACAGAAATCTTAGGCTTGCTGCCGAACCACGACTTCTTCCACTCCAACGTGTCTTGTATCAGTTTCTCTTCGTCTGCAGTGAATTTTAACAAGGTGGATATTGCTTTTATTAGGTGTTGAGCCTCGTAATCCCTACTGGTTAAAAATTTTATAATGACGTGCTTTAAATACTTAAAATTAACATCGTCCTCATCCCGACGCACGACACTGGGGAAGTTCCGGGTAGAAATTTGAGAAGGCGTTAATACCGCTACTGTATTGCTTTCTAGGAGGTCGCTGTGGTAATTTGGATTCCCCGGTGTCCTCAGCTCCTGCTGGAGGGTCTTCTTCATGTCGGCCAGTCGGAGTTGCAACATTTTGATATTCTGGAAAGAAAAAAATAGTTGTGAAGTGCAAAGCGGAGGAATTATTAGAATTCTCACTTTGTTTTTCTCAGAAATCTGATCCTCCAGTTCGACGATGTTTTTGTTTAGTTTTTGTTGTATCAACGTGCTTTCCTTCAGTTTACCGTTTTCTTCTTCCAACTGGGTCAGCTTGTTCAGTAAATCGTTCATATCCATTTCTTGCCGTCTCATCTCCTGTTTCACCAGCTCCATTTGCTGGGAAATTTCGGCGTTTCGTAAGAGAGCAGTATTCTTCTCCGAGGTCACTCTGTGAAGAAAAATAATAGAATTATATTTTTGGCTAATATCTTCTTTTACTTTAACATAATTCAAATAAAATCTAAATGCCAAAGTACTGTCAAATTTTTAAGGCAATAGTACCTACATGTTTCCCTGAATACTAATACGAAATTATTTATTTGAATCAAATGAATCATCGACTAATTCAATTTTTAAACTGTTCTAACTCTTGTCTACGCCGTCACTGGGCAGCTCCTAAACTAGCTCCTTATTAGTGTTTTTTTTATACAGGATCGGAAAGTCCCCATGGTTCATCGGCCGTTACGTAAGAGCGATAAAGAAAGTCATAGAAATCCGTGCGATAGAGAAAGATGGCTATAATAAAGGCGTCTAAGAGTCACCGCCCATTTCGCCCTTCCACAAATAAGATCCACTTCCTATTTGTGGAAGGGCAAAATGGGCGGTGACTATTAAGACGCCTTCATTATAGCCATCTTTCTCTATCGCACGGATTTATATGACTTACTTTATCGCTCTCACATAACGGCCGATGAACCATAGGAACTTTCCGACCCTGTATTTTCAAAACTAACCGTATATAATTAATAATTAATGGAATGGCAGAAATTGAGTAGCAATGTTTATTACAGTGTTTTAGAATGGTATGGTGTGTTTGTGTCTTCATTGTTAAATTTGTGTGACATTAAAAAACAAAAAAAACTTTTATATAAATCAATAATAATGGGATTTGACTGAAATGCATGCCGTAGATCCAAACTGTGTATGCGCTCGTGGTTTAGTATGAAAATTACAAAAAAAGGTTAAAAAAAAATAGTTTTCATGGAGGAATTTGGAAAAATAAACCTATGATACGTGTTTCTAATAGTCAAACCCTCAAATTGTTCTTTAAAAAATTGCCTATAGCAGGGGTTGGCAAATAATTTTAGGTGGAATTTTGAAAATTTCTAACGAGGTCCAGAAAAAAAACATATTCCTTACTAATTTTTTGTTTTAATTTGTACTCACAAAATTATATTGAAATACAATAGATAGACATATTTGTATTCAAAAATCAATGGGAGAAATTACATTTGCATTTGGTCTTAAGTCAGTTTTTTTTATTAACCTACTAACCATTAAAAAATTATAAGGGTGGCATTCAAACGTATTGTTATATATAGAAAAATATTTTTTGAAATAGTTTGAGTAATTATACTTTCAAAAAATTTTTGGCGGTCCAGTTTTTTACCTTTCGCGGTCCGCCAGTTGCCAACCGCTGCCCTATAAGATAAGAGATTTCTAATCAAAATCAATTAAAATTCAATTATAGTCTTTCCGGTCTCAATTTAAAACCAATATGTATCAGGTTCAGCCCCTACACAGCAATATTGAAATATTTGAAAAAATTGTTCCCATATTTACTTAGCCATACCTATATACAGGTCTGGTTGAACTAAACGTGGAGGTAGTAGAAAGGTAGTCGCTCAGTTGAAAAATGCGCGCGCGGGCAAACGGCGCACAAACACAGCCGCACTGGGCGACTAAGCCATAAATTTCAGTTGTTGACAAATGGCCTAGTAGTGCAGTGCAGCAATGTGGAATTTGGTGTGATTCAGACAATTTTAATTTATTACAAAGCACCTTCTATTAGTCATTCAACTTTCAATTGCAAAAGGGAGAAATAAGAGGGATATTTTGTTTACAAACGTGGTATTTTGGAGACCTTTTGTAACGGAACAAAACGAACATTTACATGTGCAATAGCAGCGTCTCATTTTAAATATTTACGATTGTTTAAAAAAGGAAGAAAATGCAAAACCAGATAATGAAATTATAAATAGAATTCACATATTAACTAAAATTTCAGTGTCCACAATCTTTCGCGTTATTAAACAAGGTGTTATGGATCAATGGGTAAAGAGGAGGCAAAAACAAAAATTTTTAAATATCGATGAGATGACGAGATACTTAATTCGGTGGACAATTTATAATTTATATAAAGAAAAAATATGTTGTTCGCCAATTGAACATATAATAGATATTTTCTAAACATTATAAACAAATTATTAAATTTTTTACCTTTAGCAGAAAACTTTTTTTGGGATGCCTATAACTCATTAAATTTCATTGCTAGGCGTTTTTATACATGTTCAACTGACTTCGGAAAAACAATACAATTTAGAGCTGTTTTTTTTTGAAAGCAGTCTGAAATTTCACAAATTCTGGGCTTTACCTTCATCATTTCAAAATCTGCCTAGTTGGGATGTGTTTTATTAGTCTCGTTGAAACGAGTCAAATGAAGCCTCATTCACTGCTATACGATTTCTTACTACCGTATACGATAACGTATCAAAGGCTGTAGGACCAATTTCGAGCGTTACTTTCGAAGCACTCTCGCATTTACAGTTTTAAAGTTACAAAATCGTTTTTGAATGTCAATCAGTTCCTGGTCAGTCTGGATCAGTTCGTCCGTTCAAATGTTATGAACGATGTCACAAAAAGTAACTTTCTGCATAAACAACATACTTAATATTTTAAATATATTCATTAATATAATGCGATGTTGGCATGATATATATCCGATATATATCATTGATATATATCACGATATTTATTCCTTGATATATATATATATCATGATATTTATAAAAATTAAATGATTCCTACTGGTTTAAAGTAGCTAAAACTGTTAACAGATGGCAGCAAAACCGTATGCTAATCGTTGATGAACGTGTTTATTTACGTGATTCCCCGAATTTTTCAACAAAGTAAAATTGAATGAATATTTTTATTTCATTATTTTTCCAGGTGTTCGTCAATTCGAGCAAGTGCTGTGTGCTTGTATTTGTTTTAATATTTATGACGTTTATGTTGACTTGGTGTAAATTGGTTAGTTTTCGTAGTACTTAATATTCACGCAAATATTTTTTATTAGTTTCAGAATTTATATTTATTTTTCATTCTTGTTTTTGATATTTGGAACAAAAATATTTACCTAAATAGTTTCTTAATTTTATTTCGCTACTATAATATTATACATAAACTAATTAATTAAAAAAATTATAAATACCAAAACTTGATATATATCGAATATACATCAAGATATATATTTGATATTTATATAAATATCATGATATTTGCCAAACTTGATACAATGCAGTCTTACCTCGATAAGGTCTTCTGTACATTCAGGGAATTAGATCGTTCCTCTCCTAGCTCCTTTTCCAACTTGGTGATCATCTGCTTCAGGGAAGAGTTGGTTGAATGTTCGGAATCGACGCATAACTTAAGCTTGCCGCACTCATTCTCGATCTTGTCCAGTTCGCTTTCGGTATTATCTAAATTTTTCCTAACTACTTTTAATTCTGTTTTGGTATTGTCCTTGAAAATGAAAGAGACAGCGTTAGTCAGAAGCCTAGCGGGTAAGCGTTTCGAGGAGCGGGAATCATTCGGGTGTTAATGCTAAGATGAGGGGAAAAATTAAAAACATCAAAATAAAAAAATAACTCAAAACATTTGAAATAAACGTTTATTCAACATAATATAATAATGTATATACCATACAAATAAATATAAATGGAAGTAGTCATCGAATTACAAATTCTACCACAACATCAACTAAATACGCTTAAAAATAAACATCATCCTGTAAATATCGACCATAAAAATGTAACAGTCAGCAGGGAGGAGAGATAAAAAGCAAACCGTGTGCTAAAAAATAAAGCGACTGTGTAAAAATAGAGAAGGAAAAAGCCCCGGTCTACACTGATTGTTGACTCACGAGTTCAGTCCTGAGAAACGTTATCTCTTCCTCGTTATCGTTCCTCAACGATTTCAGTTCGCCGGAGAGCTCGTTCACGTCCTCCGTTAATCTCTTTATTTTTGTCTCCTTGTTGTTCAGGTCCAGCTTGTTGCACTCCAGCTCCGCCTCCAGCTGTTTCACCTTATCCGAAAGCTTCTCTTTCTCTTGCACGGCACGTCTCCTCTCCGAACCCTCCTCGGCCGCCTGCCGACTCAGTCGACCCACCTAAAATAATATCTTCAGCTAACAAAATGCTTCCTCGACCTTTTCAATTAATAAAAAAAATTCTAGGTTAGGTTGTCCAAAAAACAAAGTCCGATTATTTCGATATACAGTAACCGCCAAAAAATTGCACCAAGTCCGAAAGAAGGAATTTTTCCAGAAAAAGACAATTTTTCTTCTAATAAATCAATAATTTTTTGCCTAGAAGATGGAGAGTCCCAAAAAATACATTTTCAAAAAGTATGTGGAATTTTTAACTTAATTAATTAAGCATTCATTTTGACAAGTCCGTTTTTCTGTTTACAGAAATACCAAAAATCCATGTTAAAAAATTCACATTTAAAACACAAAATTATAAAAGACACATTGGTGGAAAAAAACCGTTCCGGGTAACCAAAACTCGGATTACCAAGACATCACCGTCTCGACTCACCTGAGTTTCGAGGGAGGCGATCTTATCGCTCCAAGAAATCTTGATATCGGCCAGTTGCATATGGGCCTCCTCGAGCCGCTGCTTCAGCAGTTTCCTCTCGGAAACCACCTTCTCGTCCAGGGAGCCCTCGTTGGAGGTGCTCTGCCTCAAGATCACTACTAAATCTGACAGGTGCTGCTTCTCCTGCTCGTTTTTGGCAAGTTCGGTGGCGAGATGGGCTATGTCCCTCGAACTGGAATGTCGGAGAGCCTCCAGGTCGTCCTGGAACAAATTTGGAGGAATAGTTAACGATCGTGTCAAAGTGTTGGATAGCCAAAAGCACATACCTGTGAATAGCCCAGAAGCTCACCGAAACAAAAATAATATAACACAAGTGCGAGGGAACCAATCCCCTTCTATTTACTGTGATGGTACACAACAATGTTCGTGATCGGTATATTTACAGACAGATACGCAGACAAGACATCGTCGAATGATAACGTGTAATTTGAAAATGAAATACAGTACAATCTCATTAATCCGGCACGATTAAAAACCTAAAAGTGCCGGAGAACTGGAAAATTCGAACTAATGGAATATGTATAATATAAACAGTATTAAATTAAAAAACGTTACTTTTAATTGTTTATTAAAATGGGTGTGCATATATATGTATATTGTATTGTTTTTATTTTTCTGTAAAATAATCTTTCAACTAAACTATAACTGTATAAACTGTATTCTTCAAGGATAGTAGACAAACGCGGAAAAAATAACGTCGAATTACTGGACGTACCGATGTAATAAAGTGCCGGATTATAGAGATTCTACTGTACTGAATTTACTTTTTTTGGTATTTATAAATAGCACAGTGCCACAAAGAAAAATGGGTTAGGCAGTGCACCAGATCAATGTTGCCAGTTGCTCAGTTGCCAATGATCAGTATTTTGATCCCCACATTAGGAGATTCCTCTAGAAAGCAGTTTTCCAGATTTCAAACTGACTTGTGTAGTCGGCGATTGAAAAAACACTGGAATTCATGACCCCATTCTACCATAACCATGTAGTTTCATGACCCCGTAACCTGTTATATGAGTGATTTAGATCGTAAAAATTCATAATCGCTGATTGTACAGTTGAAGAAGTACTATTACGTTTTGTCAGTGCAGATACAAAGAGAAAAACCCCAGACGACTTTATAACACAAATCTGTATGCCCCAGATCATGGATCTACAGGAGCCTGCATACCCCAGGCTAAGGGATTATTGAGTACCAACAGGACTACAGACCCATTCCTCAGAATTCCATAGTTCCTCGCACACCCAGGTTTGTTAAGGGGTTACGGGGTTATTTGGTTATGGGGTTACGGAAGGCTGCCAACTCACAATTATGTAGTTTCGGACCTCTGATGCATCCACAGTTTCATGGTTATACACATCCCGGGCTATGGGGTTATGGAACTGATTCATGTTCCAAAATATTTCATAATTTGGCAATCCCATAGATTCCTGGCCATGGGGTTAGAGGGTTATGAGGTTATGGTGCCATGAGATCTTGAATTTTCATGTTTTTCCAATCATTAACTAAGCAAATCAGTTTTAAATCTCAAAAGCAGTTTTCTAGAAAAGCGTGTTGATGTTGGGGTCAAAATACGAACTTATCAGGGAAATCTGACTAGATTCATATTCAAGGGGTCAAAATACTACGAGATAAATTGATTTTTGACTTTTTTTACTGTTTTTTATGTGGTGCTGTGTAATTATAAAATCGGTTCGTCTTCATTCTTACAAAAAGGCACTATAAGAGTCTCACAATTGCACTATCTTCATTTAATTTAAAACAAATCCGTACAAAAATGTTTGCATTAAATTTTACCAACAAGGTTTGTATAATCGATTGCCGTTTATAATCAAATAAAGTTACTATTTGGAAAAATATCTCTTAGATACTAATAATTTTCTGTGCCATAATGTCATAAATAAATTATTACCGGCAATAAAATAAATAATACCAATATAAAATTAAATATATCTGTATGATTATATAAATCTTAGTGATTGCTGAAAATAAATACAGGTATCTTGTAAGTTAAACTGATGCAGCTAAAATATTATTTTTCCTCGTAAAATTTAAAATTTAAAATCAACATTTATCGAATTTTACCATCGCTTCACGACAACGAAATGGAAATGTTCGACCGCATAAAACTTAAAACGTTTTGAATACAGATAAAAAAAAGTTCAAAATAAATGCTTAACTATACGAATTTACATAAAGTTAGTACGCTTAAAGGAAAGATAAGTAAAGCTATTGTACTAATGATGAACCTACCTGAACTGATAAAACTACATAAAATTAATTCACAAATAATCAGCAGGTTACTCTAATTACCTGATAAACATATTTTCTTTAAAATAAACCACACAATATACTGTATGTGAAAAACATTTCTGTTTTGTTGTTTTAGAAAAATATATTGATAACATGGTCCCCACAAAATGATAATCAAATCTCCGCAGAAATGCGGCAGGTACATCTAAATATTGACAATACCCATCTAAACCTTAATGGATAACAATAAAACAAATATTTGTTTCTCTTATCAGATCATGGTTTTCTACAAATTGTACAACAGGTCTCAATATATCTGTTCAAGTTATGAAACAGACGCAAATAAATATAATTCTTCTTTTTCACAAAACCAATTATTTATAAACTGAAATAGTCTATACTACAATAATTAACTTTCGGAATTTTCATATATTAATTAACAGATAACGAAGCGAACAATTTTACTGATCTTGAAGTACACTGTTGTTTAAAGAAAACATGAATTCAAGTACTAATCATAAAACAATTCCACCTACCTGTACATCACTAAGAAGCTCTTCTTGTCGTCTCAACCTCGAAATTTCGTTTCTCAATTTATCTAATTGGGTATTGGCATCTTTTAGGGCAGTGTTCTTTTCAACCAACTCCTGGTCTCTTAACAACACTAAATGTTTCACTTTAGACAACTCCTGAGTTTGTAAATTCTCTAGCTGTTCATTGTTTTCCTGACGCTCCAATATTTTTTGCTTATATTCTAAAAAACATGAAATAAAAACTAGCAGCAAAGACAAAGCACTAATACTTTTCTACTAAGAAAATATAAAAAAGGCAAATTTCTTTTAATCATAATGTTCCTACCTTCTGCTATTTTAATGGATTCTTTCAAATTAGATATCTGGCGATACGCTTCATCTTTCTCCCGTTCTAAATTTTGTAGCTGCCTGTCTTTCTCACTAACTATCTCACGCCACTCCTGTTCCTTCTGTTCAAGTTTCCTAGCGAATTCAGACTCGATTTTCGATATCCTTTTTCTAAATTCTTCCGGATCAATGGGTCCATCTTCTCTGAAACCATCAGAGGATACAATAGAGTTAAGGCTGGAAGTTGAACCCTGGTGAGATTTTCCCCGCAGAGAGTCTATTTTCTGGACAGTGGACGATGTTATTTTAGCTGTTAGTTTTGATAGATCACTCCCGGTCTCTTCACGTATTTTATTCTTCAGGGAAGCAAACATTTTTTAAAATTATTTATAAAGTCTTCATTATGATATCTGATCGCCTTCTTCTTTCCTAATTAACTAACTTCTGTACATTTTCTTACACTTTTATACTAATTGTATTTGAATTATTGACTTTTTACACGATCTTGAGCTTACCTGCTGTCACTAATGTCACGATTGATGACAAAAAATGAGGTGACGTTTAACAGGGTCGCCAACCTTTTGATTGGTTGGCCGAGTCGACAAAAGTTGGAAAGTACATTGCAGCGTTTTGACATTACCACGACTCGCCATAAGAAGGAAAATACGAAAATACGGCGGTACTTACCCAAATTCAAAGATGTACCATATTGGGGGGTAATTTATCCGTATCAAGATTTAATCTCTAGTCAAAAGATATTGTTAGATTGAAAATTTAATAATTATTTCCAAATAGTGTATTTCTATACACAGGTAGGTATATTTTTTACAAAGTACTGTCTTTTATTTGCACTTTAAAAAGTCTTCTATAGACTTGTTCCAATTGGGCAGAGAAATAATTATTATACATGGTTATTAAAATAAAATTTCGTTATAAAAAAAATTGTTTATTTTTAGAAAATTTACAAAACACAAAGTTGCATGGTATAAAAGCTATTTTTGTTTGTACCTCGAATAACTATAAGTACATGTTAGTCTTTTAATTTTCGTAAGGTACATAACTGAAATGTTATTCACACAGAATTAAATTATTTGCCCTGTAAAAAATATTTTATTGCTAAAAAATTTACAAAATGTACAAAAATTTAGAACCTAAAACTTAATTCACGGTAATTTCTTGTGTAGGTTGTTGTACCCAGAAGGTACCGCCATTTTGAGCTACAGTGGCACTAAAACAAATTTACATTTTACAAATTACATTGTGTAATATTGCCAAAAACTTACTATACTGTATATTTTCCAGGTTTCCTTGGGGCCTTCCATTTCACCGTGAAGTCTTTCTTGTCAGTGGCATTTTTATGGGTAGCAGCACTCTGAAATTAATAAAAAAAATTGCATATTTATTCTTGATATATATCTATTTTATTACTATGGTAACGATCCTGAAACTCAGTTTGTTGAAGTAAAGTAATGAATAATTTAATAGAATATAAGAATAAGTTTGTCTATAGTTGTACATTTTAATATCAAGGTCAATGTGGCGTTTTTAAAGACAAAAACTTCATGCACAATCATTGGCATAAAAGGGGTGCCAACGACTCTCACTGAACCTTCAGATCAATGTCAAGTAAAGACAAAGAACTTGGTACTCGGTACTGTATACATTATAAAGAAAGTTCCTTAATTTCTATAAGAAATTTACATACAGGCGTGTCTATAAAAATAAAGGGTGTACCTATATGTCTCCAACGCCCTGCTAACTAATATACATATTATTTAACAAAGGCAAGGAAACAAATTATGGTCGTTTTCCTGACCCTGTATGCCACAAAACGAGAACTTAAGAATAAAGAGAGCTTGACAATTCAATGTTAGAATCATTGAAACGTTAATACAAATGTCCGAAATAAATTAATAGTCTATTACTTTTCAGGGCCAAAACACTGTTTATTTAACGGTGAGTGTGCAGTAGATAGTCACAAAAATATCCTTGAAAATTTTTTGTTGGCCAGGTTAAGATCATACAGAGCGTCTAGCCGGGAAGTGCACAAACTCTGAGGAGGCATTTCTTAGATAAAAATAAGCAAAACAGTTTAAATAAACTATTATCTGGAAAAGCGCCGTTTGTGAGTTGTGGGCCTTTTTTTAGCTTTTNTAGTGATGGGACTACTCGAATGAAAATTATCGATTATATCGATTATGAAAATCTCTCGAGATATCTCGAGTGGTCATATAGAATCATTCGATTATTCGGAGACGAATGACAGTGGCCACGCCACAGCGTTACTAACTTCATCGAATAATGCAAACGCGCTACTCGAGTGAGGCCGCAGATGTTTCGATTGTTCCAACGCTCTAACGAGCTACACAACCTCTCGAGATAAGACGGCCGCCGGCCGAGAGGATGGATGAGACAATCGAATATCATCGACATACATTAAAAAAGATGTGTAGGAATTTTACGAGTGGCATCGCGCGACGCGCGGTTTTGAAGGGTGGTTTAGAAGTGAGTTTTATTTAGCGAGGATAGAAATTCATATGAATGAAAATAATACAAAAATTATGTTTTCTATATATTTTTTTTATGTAACATTAAAAAAATAAAAATTCTTATACTTAACAAAAATAACAAAATAGGTATTCAACTTAAGAAAATAAAGACTTAGATAAAATGCAAAAAACAAATATAACCAAAACAAATATTTTTAAAAGATATAGATAAAATGTAGAAATAAAGCATATATATACTTATGTATATCGGACTTACATTTCATTATTTAAATATACAATTTGATTTAAATTTTTTTCAGATAATCTGTTTCTCTTCAAATTGGTTAACTGGCCACATTTTGAAAATACTGTTTCTGAAGGGACGGATGTTCCTGGCACACACAAATATTTCATAGCCATTTCATAAATTTCAGGCAACAAGTTTTTGTGTGATTTCCAAAATTCTAGAGGATCTTTGGTTCTTTCCAGCAGAGGCATATCTAAATATTGTCTTACCAAAATCACAGCGGTAGTTGCAGCTGGTACAGCAGCTGGACGATATAAAGCAGCTCGAGTATCAAAAAAGTTCCAAATCGAATCTTGCTCTTGAATGTTTTGCTCGTCGATTTCTTGAACTCGATCAGGTACATTGTGTTCTGTTTGAGTGACAAGGTTTCTTTTTTTTTTTCATTATTTCTGTGACTTCATCGACCACCCATTTTTGAGTATTATTAGCGTTTTCTTCTAACCCAAATGCAACCTTTTTAAACCTAGGGTCTAAAAATGTTGTTTTTACTGTTACTTTATTTTTTTCGAAGTTAACGAACCTTCTACTGACTATGTCTATCAAGTTCCGACGAACATTTTCTCCTATGTCGGTTGATGTTTTACCATTAGTTTGGAGTGCATGTTGAAGACCCCTAATTATCGGAATTACCATAGACATAGTCAGATATTTTTCCCCTGACAATAAAGTTGTTGTAGTGTCAAATGGTTTTAAGACTGCCACACAATCTTTTAGAATACTCCATTCGTTGGCATCTAGCGATTCCGGAGCACGTGTTAAATTACTTAATGTTAATGTCAATGAGTCTTTAATTTTTAACAATCTTTCAATCATAATTAGAACAGAATTCCATCTTGTAGGGACGTCCTGCTTTACTTTTAAGATAGGTAAATTCAGTTCTTCCTGCGTTTGTTTTAATTTTTCTGTTGCTGTAACACTATGTTTAAAGTGACCAACTATGTTTCTACATTTTTTTAAAATATTTTTTAAGTCGCCACTATTAGACAAAGCATCTGTTACACACAAATTTAACGTGTGAGCTACACATGGATGATGATATTTATGAAGAAAGTCGTTAATCGCACTCTTAACATTATGTGCATTATCAGTCACAATGGTGACAACTTTATCACGAATTGACCATTCATCTAATACAGTTTTTAATGCATTAGCTATATTTTCACTAGTATGGGAAATAGGGAAGCCAGGGGTAGCTAATACTTTTGACTGAAGATTTTCATTCAAGATATAATGGCAAGTGACTGCCATATACGCTCTATTACTATCAGAGGTCCACATATCAGTCGTAATTGCGACATTGCGAACAGAAGCTAAAGAAACTTTTAATTCGTTTAAAGACTCGTTATATATTCGGGGCATAATAAAGTTAGTTAGTTCATTCCTACTAGGAGGTTTATATAAAGGTTTTTGCAAACTGCCAACAATGAGTTGTAATTTATTGGAATATTCTAAAAATCCTACATCTTCGACGACACTTAATGGCTGGAAATCTTTAACAACCATTTTTAATACGGCTTTATCTAGTTCACCCTTTTCTGTGTGCGAAAGTTCAGTTTTTTTTTTTGCTCCATATAATTTTAACTGCCGAGGTTTTTTTGCAGCAGGAATAGAAGAATCACTATTACTAGTTGTGACTGTCGAGGATAAATTTGAACTATTTGCGGATGTGGACGCTTCTTCTTGAGCGGGAGCAGGCTGCGAACGGCAAATAGATTTTTGTTGAAATTGGTCATTGGCAGATTCATTCAGAAGTAAAGCCGCGTCCGTATGATAATTCGCTAAATTTGGTAATTGGTCGGCGTTTCTCAGTTGTACCGGATGGAGTCGAGATAAATGCTCTTTTAAATTAGTAGTATTTTTAAAAAACTTTAACGATTTGCTACATATATTACACTTAACGGTTATATGATCTGTGGATTTTTCAAAAAAATCCCAAACAATGGACCTCTTTAGACGGCGACTACTCATTTTAAACACGTGCTGAACCACTCAACTGTCAACGAAGAAATGCCGCGATCCGCGACAGTCATTCATTTACCTAGCGTCAACATGTTTCGCACCTAATTCGGGACAGGTCGGAAATTTTCGAAGTAACTTTCGATTATATATCATTCGAATGATCATTCGATTATAAAATTCATTCGAATGGTAACCTCTCGATTATCTAATTCATTCGATTATTCCCATCACTAACAAAAAATGAGGTGACGTTTAACAGGGTCGCCAACCTTTTGATTGGTTGGCCGAGTCGACAAAAGTTGGAAAGTACATTGCAGCGTTTTGACATTACCACGACTCGCCATAAGAAGGAAAATACGAAAATACGGCGGTACTTACCCAAATTCAAAGATGTACCATATTGGGGGGTAATTTATCCGTATCAAGATTTAATCTCTAGTCAAAAGATATTGTTAGATTGAAAATTTAATAATTATTTCCAAATAGTGTATTTCTATACACAGGTAGGTATATTTTTTACAAAGTACTGTCTTTTATTTGCACTTTAAAAAGTCTTCTATAGACTTGTTCCAATTGGGCAGAGAAATAATTATTATACATGGTTATTAAAATAAAATTTCGTTATAAAAAAAATTGTTTATTTTTATAAAATTTACAAAACACAAAGTTGCATGGTATAAAAGCTATTTTTGTTTGTACCTCGAATAACTATAAGTACATGTTAGTCTTTTAATTTTCGTAAGGTACATAACTGAAATGTTATTCACACAGAATTAAATTATTTGCCCTGTAAAAAATATTTTATTGCTAAAAAATTTACAAAATGTACAAAAATTTAGAACCTAAAACTTAATTCACGGTAATTTCTTGTGTAGGTTGTTGTACCCAGAAGGTACCGCCATTTTGAGCTACAGTGGCACTAAAACAAATTTACATTTTACAAATTACATTGTGTAATATTGCCAAAAACTTACTATACTGTATATTTTCCAGGTTTCCTTGGGGCCTTCCATTTCACCGTGAAGTCTTTCTTGTCAGTGGCATTTTTATGGGTAGCAGCACTCTGAAATTAATAAAAAAATTGCGTAGGTATTTATTCTTGATATATATATCTATTTCATTACTATGGTAACGATACTGAAACTCAGTTTGTTGAAGTAAAGTAATGAATAATTTAATAGAATATAAGAATAAGTTTGTCTATAGTTGTACATTTTAATATCAAGGTCAATGTGGCGTTTTTAAAGACAAAAACTTCATGCACAATCATTGGCATAAAAGGGGTGCCAACGACTCTCACTGAACCTTCAGATCAATGTCAAGTAAAGACAAAGAACTTGGTACTCGGTACTGTATACATTATAAAGAAAGTTCCTTAATTTCTATAAGAAATTTACATACAGGCGTGTCTATAAAAATAAAGGGTGTACCTATATATGTCTCCAACGCCATGCTAACTAATATACATGCATATTATTTAACAAGGCAAGGAAACAAATTGTGGTCGTTTTCTGACCCTGTATGCCACAAACGAGAACTTAAGAATAAAGAGAGCTTGACAATTCAATGTTAGAATCATTGAAACGTTAATACAAATGTCCGAAATAAATTAATAGTCTATTACTTTTCAGGGCCAACAGTGTTTATTTAACGGTGAGTGTGCAGTAGATAGTCACAAAAATATCCTTGAAAATTTTTTGTTGGCCAGGTTAAGATTATACAGAGCGTCTCGCGGGGATGTACACAAACTCTGAGGAGGCATTTCTTAGATAAAAATAAGCAAAAAAGTTGAAATAAACTATTATCTGGAAAAGCGTCGTTTGTGAGTTGTGGGCCTTTTTTTAAACTTTTTCCAAAAAAAATATATACAGGGTGTCCGGAAATGATGAGCAATAAATTCAGGGGATAATTCTAGACCGAAAATAAATCCTACCTCTTTCTATAACATTTTTTCAAAAACTGATTATTAACGGAGTTACAGGGTGTTAAAGTTAAATTTTATTTGCAGTTTTTTTGCAATAGCTTTTGCCACACTCATAATATTTTGACGAAATTTCGTATATGGGGGTTTTTCGGGATGAGGATTATAAATTTGCCCACCGTTTTTTCGCATTTTGTAGAGGGCGCCACATACGAGCCTTTATTTTGATTTGAATGGTTCCAACTTTTTTGTGCTACACTTTATGCGACTTTTGACTGAATATTTTTGTTCTCCTAACCTTTTGACATAAAAAAGGTATACTTTATTTGTTTCGATAAATCTAACCGTTTTCGAGAAAAACGCTAAAATAACATTGCTTGCATGTGATGAATACGAAATCATTTTAATTTATTTTCTACATTAAACATAGCATGCTTTGGAAACAAGCGCTTAGTTGCCTTGGAAACAAGTTTGTGGAGAATTAGTTTTGACAGATAGTAATTTTTGTGAAAATTTGTTGTTACGCTGATGGTGGTTAATGATAAATAATAAAAAAATAACGTCCTCAACAAATAAAGAATGGTTTACTAACAAAATCATAAGGTTAAAATACATAAGTTACTAGAACAATACAAATACAAATTAAACATTCAAATCAAAGGTTCAAAGTGACGTCCTTCCTCTTCAATGCATAAATTAATTCTTCTTAAAAAATTCCGACGAACTCTATGGAATATTCCTTCCTTTTGCTTAATTACCTCACAATTAGCAACAATTCTTTCTCTCAGTTCATCGACGCTATTCACAGGTGTCCTGTATACAAGCGTCTTCAGATAGCCCCAAAAAAAGAAATCGATTGGGTTTAAGTCAGGGGATCTAGGGGCCCACTGTACAAAACCACCGCGTCCTATCCACCTTTCAGGAAAAGTTTCATTTAAGAATTCTCTGGCCGCTAAACTAAAATGCGGTGGCGCGCCATCTTGAAGCAGCCACATTGCATTTCTTAATCCGAGTGGTACATCTTCCAATAGAATAGGTAAGTGGTTTCTTAAAAAATCCAAGTAAACTTCACCATTGAGTCTTTGTGGAAAGAAATGTGGCCCAATTAAGTAGTCCCCTACAATACCGGCCCACACGTTGACGGAAAACTTATTTTGATAACCACGCTCTATTGATAAATTAGGATTCTCATCAGACCAAAAATGCTCATTGTGGAGGTTTATTAAGCCATCATGGCCAAATCCAGCTTCGTCCGTGAAAAGGATATTACGAACAAAATTTTGGTCACCATTATGAAGTATTCTAATTGTATTGCAGAAATTCACACGAGCAGCAGGATCTACGGCAGATAAGGCTTGCACCTTTTGGTAGTGGTGCGGATGAAGGTTTTGTTCGCGTATTGTTTCAATTACGGAGCTCTTTGGAATGCCCTCCTGAATAGCAATTTTTCTTATACTTATATTGGGATTATTCTCTATCGAATTCAAAATACGAGCTTCTGCTTATCTGCTGCTCTAGTATTCCGTTGTCGACCTACCTACATAAAAAATTCTAGTTTTGAACGATCCAAATTCTCCCAGTCTTCGATGAATAGTACTGAACAATCGCAATTGGGCTAGGTTTCTATTTGGAAATGCTTCGTGATACAAACGTCGTGCTGCAAGAGCATTGCCAGCAGCTAAACCGTAATAATAATGCATGTCCCGCAACTCCACGTTAGAGTAATTGTTGTTCATTTTTATTATTATTTTTATAATAACAATTACTACAAAAGAACTTGTACAAAATTACTATCTGTCAGAACTAATTCTCCACAAACTTGTTTCCAGGGCAACTAAGCGCTTGTTTTCAAAGCATGCTATGTTTAATGTAGAAAATAAATTAAAATGATTTCGTATTTATCACATGCAAGCAATGTTATTTTAGCGTTTTTCTCGAAAACGGTTAGATTTATCGAAACAAATAAAGTATACCTTTTTTATGTCAAAAGGTTAGGAGAACAAAAATATTCAGTCAAAAGTCGCATAAAGTGTAGCACAAAAAAGTTGGAACCATTCAAATCAAAATAAAGGCTCGTATGTGGCGCCCTCTACAAAATGCGAAAAAACGGTGGGCAAATTTATAATCCTCATCCCGAAAAACCCCCATATACGAAATTTCGTCAAAATATTATGAGTGTGGCAAAGGGTATTGCAAAGAAACTGCAAATAAAATTTAACTTTAACACCCTGTAACTCCGTTAATAATCAGTTTTGGAAAAAATGTTATAGAAAGAGGAAGCATTTATTTTCGGTCTAGAATTATCCCCTGAATTTTTTGCTTATCATTTCCGGACACCCTGTATGTTTATCAGTTTTACTGTCCTTTTACTTCTATCCTGTTATCAATCATCTCTATATTACTATTCTGATGTTCACGATTCGCGCATCTTTCGAAAAAACCGACTTACCCCCTTGGAACCGTGGCAGTTGATGGCCTTGGAGTACTTGTCGTCGTCCGGGATGAGGAACTGTCCCACCGCCTTCTCGCCCTTCCTGACCTGCAGCATGAAGCCCTTGAAGCTCTTCTCCGAAATGGTGATCTCCACTACTTCGCCAGGCTTGATTTCGTCATGGTTAACGGTGACCTTGTAGGGCAACTCAGATTTCTTGGGCTCCACGGGGTGCTTGGGGGTCATGTCGTCGCAGGTCGATTCCGGAGCGCCGGCCGAATAGGCCCAGGCGCAGGAGATGGCCGCGAAGAGGGTGAGGACAGTGAGGTTGGTCATCCTGCACATTATTTTAATATTTCAAGTTTTATTTATTTATAATAAAAAGGTCACGGACTTCGAGTTTCAAAAGTGAATGAAGGAATAAGACAAGTGAAACAACTTGTATACACACAGGAAAAAAAATAAAGGAGCAGAAAAATTTCCAAATTTTTTTAGTGATTTTTGAAAGGCAGTAACTTCGTGAATAATGGTCGTATCGAGAAAAAAAAAAGATGCATCTTGAAGCTTGAAGATTCTATTTTTGTAATCTTGAGATGAAAAATTGTTTTAAGCATCTCTCTCGGCGCAATTAAAAGAAACAATGCAAGGCAAAAATTTTACAATTTTTTTTTTTCAAACTGCACATGGGATCAGGAAATTTTTTTCTGGCTTAATCAATGCCAGGATTATTTAGTCTGATTCATTAGATTGAATTTGATTTCTTTTTATTTTCTGTGCAATTTGGCTATTGAATGAAGTCACCTTTTTTTTAATCATCGCTATCTCACGACCTAATGATCGTACAGCGAACGGAAAGTGGGTTTTATAAACCTGAATCAATCCTCGTTAAGAGCCTTTTGGTGTGTAACTCAATATTGGAACATCCTGTATACCTAGAACCTTCTAAAAGAATTATGTTATGATGGAAGATACAGGGATCTATGTAGAAGTAAATTAGAGGTAACAAAATTTACGTTCAGCATTAAAAAGGTGACAGACATGTTAATTTGAATAATTTCCTGCTGTTATGTAATAATTTTGACCGCTTATGGATTGAGTAACACTGAACTTTGTAGAATAGGTCAGTAGGTGAGCATATAATTAATATAAGTTTCGATTTAGCTGAACCATAATAGTATTTTAAAGAATACTTCCATATTCAACGAACTGCTTTTATGGTGCGCTTTATTAAAAAAAAGTCTTAATAATCGGTTCAATTCCTTCATGTCTGTTGATATTTTGTGCGAGTTATTCAAAACTACCATTAAAGGAAAAAAAGAAATTAAATCGTTAGTCTGCAAAACCAGATGTAGGTATTTGAGCTTAGTCCAATTAATGATTTGTTCGACATGTTTGTATATTTTGATAGGTTTACAAAAAGAAATGAAAAATAATATACACGATGCCTCAAAAAAACCCTATTTAAAGATTGCCGTTAATATAATATTTTTCCAACAACAGCCTATTGTCATTTTTTTTTAAACCCATGTAATTTTTTTTAATTTGAGAAAGTTTTTCTGAACCTGAATTATTACTTGATTTTCGTGAAAAAATTAGGAAAAAATACGTAAAGTCAAGTATGCCATGAAAAACAATCAACATTGTTTCTAACCTCAAATATTTGAGGTTAGAATTTCATTATCACGTCACGTAGCAGCACACAACGTATTAAAAATGTATTTCTGATATGTAATTTTCACAGAAACTTACTGTTACAAAATTATCAAAAAAAAAAAAAAATATTTAGCCAATGCGTATCGGGTTTCTCGTTGACTTTGTATTAAATTTCAAGTAGAAGCTTCAAATCAGAAGCACATTGTTGGCAAGTCACGTGCTGTCAAGTGACGTAATAATAAAAAAGTGTTTCTTACCTTAAATAACATTTATCTCTGTTATTGTTTGATTGTTTTCATTACACGTTTGACAATTTTGTTGGAGCGCCTAAATTAATATTACTATTATTATACATATTTGGATTCAAACAACGAAATAATAATACTTTTGGAACGTTAGTCTTTTGTTTTTGGTTTAATCCGAACCAAAAATAGTTAAAGCTTCGTTTAAGAGACCATTCTGATACGGAAAGGAAAGAAAAATTAAGAATAACAAATGAAAAAAGTAATAAATAAAATATACAGGGTGTCTCATAATTAGCTGCCAACCCTGAACAGGCCGATTCTATGATCGAAACTAAGTAAAAAAGTTCATATGAACATGGGTCCGGAAATGCTTCCTAAGGGCACAGGGACCCATTGAAGAGGGAGGAATGGAAATCATTTTTTTGCAATATCTCTCAATCGCGTTGTGATAAATGAATGAAATTTGGTATACACAGCTAAATTTTGATGAGCAATTTGATGGACTAATCCATTTATTTCCACAAGGTCCATTGGGGTGGGTACGGGGGGGCCCTTGGTACTTTGCGTGTGTAACTTTTTCATCTTTGACTTTTTAACAAATTGGACAGCAAATTCCGTTTTCCCGAACTGTTTTACGTTAAAAAGGTACTCTTGTTTCAAATCGTTATCTTTAACGGTTTCTGAGAAAATCGCTCTTGAATTAATCCCACTTTGGTCAATTTCATAGTAATTTAAACAAAAAATAATAATAATAATTTTCCTTTCCTCTCTTTTCCATTTAAAGGATTAATTTTTATTTAATTTAATTTTTTATTATTATTTTTTTATTAAAACTAGATTAAATTGAAACAAAATATTTTTTTTTGTTTAAATTACTATGAAATTGACCAAAGTGGGATTAATTCAAGAGCGATTTTCTCAGAAACCGTTAAAGATAACGATTTGAAACAAGAGTACCTTTTTAACGTAAAACAGTTCGGGAAAACGGAATTTGCTGTCCAATTTGTTAAAAAGTCAAAGATGAAAAAGTTACACACGCAAAGTACCAAGGGCCCCCCCGTACCCACCCCAATGGACCTTGTGGAAATAAATGGATTAGTCCATCAAATTGCTCATCAAAATTTAGCTGTGTATACCAAATTTCATTCATTTATCACAACGCGATTGAGAGATATTGCAAAAAAATGATTTCCATTCCTCCCTCTTCAATGGGTCCCTGTGCCCTTAGGAAGCATTTCCGGACCCATGTTCATATGAAGTTTTTTACTTAGTTTTGATCATAGAATCGGCCTGTTCAGGGTTAGCAGCTAATTATGAGACACCCTGTATACGTAAAACTATTACAAATAAAGGATACACATTGACCTTGGATCTTTATTGGCTGTTAACTCTAAAAGACGAATGATAACGTATAGCTTATATAATCAATGGATGTAAGTAATACTATAGGTAATAAACATCATATGATATCTCTAGCAGACAAAAAAAAACAAATTTAAACTGACAAAAATAATTAAAAAAAAGGAAAAGTTGTTGTTAGTTGAACGCGCCATATAATAAAAGTTTTATGAATTTGGGACATACGGTATATAGTGATGTTCTTTTGTATTTTGTCTGCTTTTTTCGGTGAATTATGGTTAGGCGAAATTATTTTCACAAGAATAACTAACTCCTTTATTTCACTATTTTTTTTATTTTTTCACTCATGGCAAAATATTGGTAAATATGAAAAGCCAACTATTCTATTAATTTTTGGGTTACTTTTTCTGTAGTTTTAATACTAATTTTGTCATTTAATTTTAAATATAAACAAAACGTGAAAATAAAAAACCGCCACCATTGCCCAACAGAAAAAAGCTTTCTTGTATGCGTTTGTATGAGCACGTTTTTGGATTTTTTTTAAATACTCACCTGATAGATAGGTCAGTTTCACTTGATCTCTTCAAGACCGAAGTTAAAACTGGCCAGCTGTAAGAGAATTGCCGATTTTACTTTCAGTTACCTCAGCTGCGGAGGTAGGGATAATATTCAAAGAGGTAATTATTAGATATATATCTAATAAACCCCCATTAGGTGTTCGAGGACTAGTACTGAATCGACCAGTCACGGTGATTTTAGGCGGTCACGCAATTGCGATTTCAATGTGAATTTTTATTGCAATGGGAAGCTGCGGCAAGCTTTGACAGATTTTAAATTTTGCGGAAATCATTTGTTTTAATGGCAATAAAAAATACACAAAACTGGATTGTCATTAGAATTCAATAATTAAAATTCTCATTGCAGATAATATGAAATACTTATTTTTGATGGAACATCCTGTACATTATTAAATTGTATAAGATAAGCTTGATGTTATGGTTCAAAATGTTTCACTTCAAAATTATATCAGTTTACATCTTTTCAAATTTTACATAAACTTTTCCAAATTCTTTAGAAGTGATATAAAACATGTTGATCAGAAATGAGAAAAACTGTCGAAGATAAACACCATACTTTATATATTCCTGAAATTTTCCTATCAATTTTTATTCTTGCGCATTTTCCCATAATCATCGTAGATGATATTTTTCATCACACGCCAGTGGATTTAGCTTTGCATCGATCTCTTGGCGGATCCATCAGGATGATGATGCATCCGTTAGATTTTTATATCTCTGCATGATTATCATATGGCTATAAGACAATTCTTAAATCATTTTACGACGGTATAAAAGCTACAAGAATAGTGCTGGTTAATGTTCATGTTGCGCTTATTAATATAATCCATGACTAGAAACAAGCGTTGAACAAAGAGGTGTCTAAAAACTGTTATAAAATCAATCACCTTGACACCGACAATTTCCCTTTCACAAAACTAGTGGTCAACTCAACTGAAAGAAGTCGAGGATCGGTTTACGATATTACATTCTAGTAGCTTGAATACCTGCAGGCAAATTCAAAAATCAACAGAACAATCTTGATAAACCCTTGAGTGTTAGATATTTTAGAGAGTAAAGACAGTTAATTTTTTTGCACAATTTTTTCATCCGGCATTTTAAATATATTCAGTTATAAAAGGCTGGGAATTTTTTATTGACTATTATCTATAATGTGGGACTGAAAAAAATTAACTACTTACATATTTTTAGCTGTATCGCCAAGGACATTTATTACATAAAACATAATTTAATATCATGCTGAAACCTTTTATACTAGCATTAATTAAGGTTATCTCTTACGATTTTCTGATATAGGATTGCTCTAGCAGTCACAGGGTGTTAAAGAGTTACATCCCGCGACCTAGAATGAACCGAAAAACCTAAACCAGTGTCTAGATCTGAAGGAGCGGTTCTACATATTCTAAAAGTGAAAGCAAATTGTATGTTGAACAAAAAAATTAGTATAATAGTACATAGAATATAGTTATTCAATAAATAGTACAACAAAGTATCTTAACACGATATTTTATGCGAAATATAAGTATATGTAGACAGGACATAATATGTAAACCAGCAAATTCAGATGAGCGGGAATTGTAAGATGCGCATAGAAGAACGCGAATAAACAGAGATATATTTAAAAATTTTACAGCTGATTTACATATGCTATGATATAGACAAGTTTTCCAGAAAGTGTTACATTTTTCTCACCACAATCAGAGTGCGTTTCAATAACTATAAAAGCTTTTATAGGTTATTTTCTTTCGGCAAAGCTTTCACGGATCCTTCAGCTATAAAATGCTATTACCGACAAATTTTTTCGCTCAAGGTATATAGTTTGATTGAACAATGTATACTTAATTATTAAAAGAATTCTTTAATTTACTTTCTAGACTGATTAACCTGTGAAGGTTAATAAAAAAATAACAGAATAATATCTATACCACTAAATGCATAATAAAAATTGTGCGGTAATAAATCAGTTAAATATTAATTATTGAGACGAGAAAATTATAATTGCTTATTGATTTTCTTGGGGATATGCTTAAACTCAAGTCAAGCTACTGATAAACACAATTACAAATGTTTGAAATAACAGAGCACCGAATTGCAAGGGTGCCAATTTACTTTAATTTTTTTATTAGTTTTCTTTCTTCGGATATGTTGGTTTCGTAGTTTCAGATTAAAAGTTTATAAATCCAGTCCTGCCCAAGATAAAACTGTTAAGATTACAAGATAAAAAACGCAATTACATCCGCAGGAAGTGAAAATGTGTAAAATTTGTAAATAACGATTTAACAACAATTAACTATTCTCATTATGTAATCCAACATATTAACGTCTATATAAGGAACTTTTTCTGACAGTTGCCTTGAAATCTTGGATATCTGGGACACCTACATCATTGCACAGGCTAAGTTAAATTCGAAAAGAGAAGAAAATGTGCAATGTTTAGGCAGGTTTAGTTTGGGTTGCTTTCTTTCATTAATAAAACAATAAACGTTTTTTGAAAAAAAGAAACAGTTTATATGGAACCTTGCTCCAAGATAAAAGATTAGCAAACTAAAGAAACTATACAGTTGTTCTGTTAACATATTCCCGTCCCTAATTATCAGTTTGGATGATATTGCTGTGATTCACTTGCTGTTGTTTTTATTGTTTCTCGGATTGAGCTCTCTAACACATCAGTAATAGCACACGTGCTGTTGGATCAAAAATAAAAGTTTCTTTGAACTTATAAATTCAATACGTTCAATATACTTATATAGCATACGGCGACGGCTTTAAATTTATTTTATAGTTTCTGTTACGTATCGCTGACACCGTGTATATTTCATTTTTGGTCGTGTCTATGTAACCACTAAATCGCAAATCGCAGTAATCGTGAACCTGCGTGTCGTAACAAATACGATTTGTTTTGAAAAAGGAACAACTTTCACGTTCCTTATACAAATACGAATTCTTTTAAACAATTATAAAATATTTTTTTCATCTTGTCCATTCTGGGATGGCAAGGTTTTACGGCACGGCATTCGATTTTCTGTCAAAGAATAAGGACATCGATGTCCACAACGCATCGAAGGTAATAGAAAATGCTTATTACATTGCAATAGTTATTACAGTTAACGCTTCGTAAGGACTTCAAGTTTTTTTCTCGTTAACCTGCCAATAGGTAAACCACTTGAAAATTAATTTCTATTATAAATATTGGTAATGAAACAAACATTACCGCTGTTTTGACCTACATAAATACGAGAAAAATGGTAGAATGGTAGAAAGACACATTAGGCAGAGCAAACGAAGGCTGATATATTTTAAAATTGAATACGAAAAAGAGGCATAGTTCGTAGCAGATAACTAACCATATAAAAATGCTCTGAGTGTTTTCCTAGACACTGGAAAAACTATTTTATGCCAAAAAACATTTCCAAGCATGGGAAGGTATTATTTTTGCATCAAAATTTAGAAATGTACTCGTATAATATAAATGAAATTATAGATGGCACCACTGGTCACGAGTTCACTCAACACTCAATGGTACCTATTGTTTATCAAGTACTACTTAGTGCTGTCATCTGTGGAGAAAACGCATAAGTTCAATACAAATAAAACGATAGTTAGCGCCATTAGTGCTTTATTTGTATTTATGTTTACGAAGGACTAGTGCCGTCATCTGTGGAAGAAACCGATAAGCTGAAATTTATTTTCGTATTAGATAATACATAGGTATAAATATAAAAATGTGTTTGTGTTTTTCTAGACATTGGAAACATTTTGTACCCAAAAAAACATTGTCAAGCAATATATTATATTTTTTGCCAAGAAATTTAAATATACATAGTTCTTATTGTACGAAACTTATAAGATTGAATTTATATTTATTATAGATAAGAATATAAAAATGCTTATGTGACTCCTCAGATATTGGAAACATTATTTCGTTAAAAAAACATTTCCGAGCATGGGAATATATTTTTTGCATTAAAATTTAAAAATGTACTTGTATAATATAAATGAAATTATAGGTGGCAGCACTGGTCACGAGTTCACTCAACACTCAACGATACCTATTGTTTATTAAGTACTACTTAGTGCTGTCATCTGTGGAGAAAATGCATAAGCTCAAATTTATTTCCGATAACTAAGAATATTAGAATTTTCGATTATTTTCCTAGATGCAGAAAGCAAAATATTCCCGACGATTGAAATTTTTGCATAGATTTAAAAATATACTTGCGTCATATTACAAATAACACGATAGATGGCACCAATAGTCTTTAATTATTACTCAATATTAGTTTAGTTAGGTCATCTGTGGAAAAAAATTATAAGTTTGAATTTATATCGGAGAACAGTGTTCTCTGATTGTACGTATTACAAAAAATATATATTTACATTCTCATATGCTCGCGATTTAAAAAATGCTTACAAAAAAATAAATAAATCTTAACTTTTAATGTCCACTACATTGACTATTATGTATGTACAATTTTTTTACCAAATTAGTTTCCAACCAATGTTGCCAATTTTAATTTAAATAAATCAATCTTTCGTAGTGCTTGCTCTATTTCTATTCTAACAATTTGAACAAATCGAGTTTGTGTATTTTTATTTTAAAAAAATACAAATATTTTCTAAGAGAACATAAAATAAAACTCAAAATCTAAATAAACGAAATAATAATTGAATTCACATAAAACAAAACAAAAAATTATTAAAAATTCTGAAACGACTTAATTTGTATACAAAATTATTTAAATAAATTTTGTTTAGCTTTTCGAACATTTTACAAGATGTTTGTCATTTACAGTGCTACTAGATTAATAGTAATTTTGCAAGTCAGTAACCATAGAAAGATTTTTAAATTTAATCTTTAATTCAGAATAACATGTAAGTACTCCAAAAAACGTTTCTCCTCACTCTGCCTTGAGAATGGCAAGGTATCCATTGACATAAAAAACTGGACTATTTTCAGTTTCCCAGTCCCGTACCGGAGTCATATTGGAGAATGGATTTTTTTGAGGTTCCAAAACAACGTTAACTTTATGACTACTCTTCGATATCAATGTACAAATATCTTGTTTGATTTCATTCAGTGTATAGGCCGTTAACAAAAGTGGCACATTCGAATACATTGTTAAACAGTCTATGCTAGGATCCCACGGATTATCACCGAATTCATGCAATCCGCTGTTGAATACCACCACAATGTCTGGCTTATCTATAGATTCGGCTACTTCATGGTAAAGTTTCCAGCAGAATACAATCTTACTCGAAGGATTTTTTGCTTTACAACTATCACAGAGTTGCTGTGTGAATTTTTTCCTAACACCTTCATGTCTTATCTCTGGACCTATGACGTAAAAGTTCAAACTTTTCAGATCCTTTATCCAATGAAAAGGGAGTTCCGTTATTAGTTTCCAAAACCAAGCCATTTCTGTGAGTGCAGCCCCCACAATATGCACAGTTAAATCTGGTTTGTTCAAAAAACGATTTGTTAAGAGCCCGGACTCTTCCATTCCATAGAGAATAGTAGCCGCAGGAGCTATGACATTTGATCTAATTATAAATTTTATAAATTTCTTCGAGTTGTTTTCTTTTGGTACACTGCACTTCTCATACATTCGCATCAGTTCTTGAAGATTATTTGGTAATATATTAACTTCAGGTTCAAAATCATGTACTGCGATCTTAGGAGTACTGTATTTTTCATGGAAGTTATATAAATCTATATCCATGCACAATTTTAGAGCACCACAAAATTCAGAATGCTGTTTTTCATGGTCATTCTTATGTTGTTCTGAACAATATGACACATTGAGGCAGTTGGGACAATCAATAATAACCTTTCTGGAAAAACATTTAGCACAGACTCTAGGAAACATCCACATTTGACATTCAAAATCGTCAAGCTTCCTGCATAATTCTTTATGCCACAGTATGCTTTTGGACACGTTATATTTTCTAAAATCTTCAAAGGTGCTTATGGTGGAATATTTCAAAATTTCATCTACCTTGGCTATTGCCTTGCATAAATCTTTATGAAATTTCCAGTCTTGTTTCTGATGGTCTCTTGAACAATAAGCTACTGTCTTACACACAGAGCATCTTTTCAAATTTTGGTTGGACTCTTTGCAGACATGACATAAATTATTGTAATAGAATCGATTATACTGAATGCTGTCGTAAGACATTTTAAATGTATGTTCTTATTTTTAACTGTGGAGATATTCAAAAATATAACATAACCTACATCAATATCAACAATAAATAAAACAAAACAAATCCAACATTTTAAACCATAGAAAATTAAAAATTATATTAAATAAGTTTTCTATGCTCATGAGTTCATGTTCCAATTCCAAAATAAGTGAGTAGAGCATTAGAACAATACATGGAAAAGCACGTTTACGGCGAGCGATAGAGAGAGAAAGAGATGGTTTGGGTACCATATTCCTCTCTCGCACAGACTCGTGATTGGCTATCGCAACTCCATACGCAATGATTAGAGAGAGAGAGAGAGAGAGAGAGAGAAGGTGCGTGTACCCAAACTTACTCATTACTCTCTATAACGCATACTTTTAACACTCTGTGTAGTACATGCTCTGAGGTTCAAAATTGTTGTACTACAGGTTGTCCACAATTATAAATTATAAATAACTATATAAATTTGACACTTGACAGTTGATTGACAGATTACGGTTATATTAGGCTGAAATCTATACAATTTGTGTATTTTGCAAGATATTCTAAAATAAATATAAAATGGCTGATGAAGAATTTGATGAGAACGATGTGGCAGACGATTTCGACGACGATGTGGAGGATGATAATATAGAAGAATTGGAACAGCCTGAGGAAGAGGGTGATAACATAGATATACTTGCTCCCGGACAAGCAGGAGGTGGCGTTCCAAAAAGTAAACGTATTACTACCAAATACATGACGAAATATGAGCGTGCTAGAGTGCTAGGAACACGAGCTCTTCAAATAGCCATGTGTGCTCCAGTTATGGTAGAACTCGATGGAGAGACGGATCCCTTACAAATCGCCATGAAAGAATTGAAACAGAGAAAAATTCCCATCATCATTCGAAGATATCTGCCTGATCATTCGTATGAAGATTGGGGTATCGATGAACTTATTATAATAGACCATTAATAATTAATAATTTATATATTTTTCTAAACTAAGTTTTTGTATATACATTATCTTATAATTCAGAGGAACCATAGTTTTGTAAATTATTGTTTGTAAGATGATTTTAAAGTGACAACAAATAAATGTTTTTAACAGCAAATTTTATTTATTCTCTATCATATAAATTTTGGTACCTCATTTTACTAAGTAATTCGTCATTCTCTGTAGCTGCTATGGTTTTCGGTGGTATCATAGCTCCTGCAACATATCTGCCTTCCGAATTCAAAAAATTGAAAGTGGCACATGCTTGGTCTGTAGGTAATATTTCAAAAGGTATTTTAAACTTTTTAGAGAAAGGGAGTATTTTCTTATAAAAATTGAAATTATCTACTTTATCTCCTACGCCTAATACTATTATATCTAACTTAGGTTCTATTACCGAAAATAAACTAAAAGCTTCTTCCGTAATTTCCGATATATCTTCAACGTTCCAAGACAAAACAGATCTGAAAAGGATTTTGTTAAGACATTGATCAAAGTGTTTTATACTTGTACCTTGAAAATATAACCATAGGTCCTAGAATAGTCATGTCATTGTTCAAGCGAAACCCAACCTGTAACGTTTTGTTTAAATTTAGGCCATAAATTACAAAGCTGATGCTTACCTGACTGTACCCATCTATCATTAAACCTAGCTCTGCCTCTTTATTAAGTATATGAATTGTAGTTTTTCCTTCACCCTCATAGGCACCAGGAATATGTAACATAGTGCTCCTGTGGATACCTCGCCTAAAGTTTGTATGAAAGTATAAAAGGTGTTTAATTTATTTCATAAGTATTACTGACCTGCACGCATTGGTAAATATGTTTTTAGCAATCTCTTTGTATATTTTATTCATTTTATATTTTAAATGAAGAAATGAAAAGGTTATGTGTTATGTCACAACCATAGATATGCAAGACAAAGATGGAATCTTGAAATGATATCGACGAATGACGAAAATAAGCACGAAGCGTCAGTCAAGAGATGGCGCTGTTATTGTTTGATTAATACGTAGTGAAGTCGTATTTTGGAATATCGAGGAAATAATTAGTATTTTACTTTCTCCGTTACTGCATTATGTATTATGATACTCGGCTTCAGATTTCTAAGCTTTTTGAGATATTAGCTTTGCTTTTGTAGTAGTTGAGGACTGATTTAATACTATCACACTGTCCGACAGATTTACTTATGATCTTAGACTCCCTGAGAGTAGTGGCCGAGTATATTTGATACTTTGAAAACAGTTTGCAACTACTGCATTTGAGAATGGCCGAGATTTCAGGTAAATGAAACACGGCTGAGGTCTTCTTTTAGCTGTGATGTAATCATGATATGAAACTAAATATTACGATTAGTAAATTTCAAGAATTCGACAAGATTATTGGCTATTGGAAATCATAGTACAAAAGGTACCATCCGATTCGGTGATACAGTAGAATTTTTATTTAAATAAATTTGCTGGAACTTTATAATTTTAATTTATTGATTAAAATTCTCAATGAAAATAGTACTTTTACATAATATAACATGGGTATATAAAACTAGCTCTAATATTAAAAAATAATATAATCGCCAATAAAACATCTGCTATATAATAGAAAATATGAGAACACGGATATCGATATCGCTAAATAAAATCATACAAAGACAGTCAATAAAAAAAAAAACAATATAAACATTGCATTATTATTTTCAATTCTAAATATTTGTCAGTGATTTTAAAAAAAATGTTCGAGTTAAACAAAATTTATAATTATTGCACAAAATATAACCGTTTACTATCTATTTATGTTAACCTTATTAAAAATTATATATTGATTAAAACTTAACCGAATGGAACAGAAAATTTGTACAGAAAGGTGCAACCAAACGTTTTACTACATTCATCATAAAATAACGAAAAATAGAAATAATCCTGCACGTCTTTGAATTGAAATGCCGCTCTCCTCAAAGCTTAGTGCATTTTAAAATCGTTTAAAACTTCTACAAAATGTGATGTTTTTCAGCGTACATACAACTCGGAGGCTAAAAACAGCCACGAGCTGGTTGCCTCTATCAGTGCGTCTTCATGTGGGTAGACAACGGACCAGTTTGTGAAAACGCTTTGTCGCATATATTGCAGGTGTACGGCTTCTCCCCGGTATGAATCCGCAGGTGAACCTTTAAGGTCGACGCCTGGTAGAACCCCTTCTTGCAGTAGGAACAAATGTGGTTACGATCACCTTAAAATCATCGGTATTAACAATTCAAGGCTATTTTATAAACAAATTACCAACCTGTGTGCGTTTTTATGTGTATCCGCAGGTCCTCGCTCCTCGGGAAAGCCTTGGGGCACATCGAGCATTGGTACGGCTTCTCTCCCGTGTGGATACGCATGTGTTTCTTTAGCTGCGACGAGCTTACGCAGCCTCTGCCGCACATGTTGCAGACATAAGGCTTTTCCCCGCTGTGGGATCTTGCGTGGACAGTCAGCCTCGAGGGGTCTGGAAAGCCCTTCCCGCAGTGCTTACAGACGTAAGGCCGTTCTCCTAAAGTTTGCATAGTTTTACTAGGCAATATAGACAAAAGATACATTGTCTTAGTGTGAGAACTCAATGAACTCAGAGGCAAAGATCAATAAGCCCAGTGGTTCAAAGGCTAATGACTCCAGGTCCAAAGGTCAATGAGCCATAGACTAAAGGCCAATTAGCAGTGTCAATGAGCTCAATTTTAAAGGTCAATGAACAATGGTTCGAAGGCCAATTACTCCAGGTCCAAAGGTCAATGAACCGTCGACTAAAGGCCAATGACCAAGGCCAAAAACCAATGAGCCCAAGCCAAAGGTCAAATAACATGAGTGTGTAAATCAAAAATAATCTGATAAAGGGTATATTATTTAGATATTCCTTATGTATATCGTCAGAAATGCGTTTTCAATTAAAATATCGTGGCTAAAGTAAAAAATTAATCATAACGTTTAAATAAACGCCAGAACAGACCTCAATATCACTTTACCTGTGTGGGTCCTTTTATGAATAATGAGATTGCTTGGTGTGGTGAATCCTTTCCCGCAAAATGGACAAATGTGATCCTTTAAACCCGTGTGGGTTTTCATATGCATCGCTAAAGAGCCAGATCCACACAACCTAAAAGACATTAGTAAAACTACTGTACATTTGTATTTATTTGTTTATTTATGATTATGAGTGGTTGCAAACACTAAAGAGAACAGGCATAACAAATAAAGTTATAGAATAAAAATTAACTAAAAATTGGTGAAAAAGTTGAAATTATTTGAACTTTATCAGGAATTGGTGTCTGTCATGTTTTTTTTGTACAGAAACTGCGAATTTCATGAATCAGCTTTAAGATTCATGGTGTTCCTTTTACAACAACTTAGTAGTCGAAAAATCGAAAACAACCTTTATAGCTAAGACTAATTCTCAATCATTCACACAATAAAAATTTAAAATGGGAGAAGCACTCTCACGAGTCATTTAAAAAAATTTGAAAGAACACAGGCCCCAAATAAGAGCCTTGGAGCACACCTGACACCAAGTACTTATATGAAGTTTGTGGATTCAAATTTGTTTAATCCTTCAAAGATCTCGGAAAAATCCATATATACAGAATGAAATTGGGATCCAGTCTCCAAGACACTTGCCAGACAATGTTTAACAATTATTTTTGCTGTTTTAAAAAATTTTCATAATAAAAAATAAATAAATAAAATAAAAATACTTACTAATTTGATAGATTCGAAATATTTTAAAATTATATCAGTTTTTAATAAAAAGTATTTAGTACCTTTTCAAAGCACCATGTTTAGTTCATGAATTTCGGTGTCAATGACCTCTGTCATTGTTCTATTGTAGGTGAACTACATAATATCAATCCATCTGATGTGATATGACAACTGGGCACTACGCAGGCAAAAGACAAACGGCCAATGTTCATTTGGTGGATTAAAAATGGACCAATTTAAGTTTAATTTTAGAGTAAAAATTAAAGTATCTTACGTAGCGCAAGTGATATAATTTTGTAGTTATTTATTTCAGTGTTTAGTGATGGTGTGTTTGTGTGTCCTCATTGCTAAAATGTCCGTGTAATGTAAATACAAATCAAGAAAGACGAGACCTAACAACAATGCATGGTGTAAGTTCCAACTGGGGCAAATTATGAACAAGAAGTTCAAAAAGTTCAGTTTTCACGACAAATTTAAGAAAACAAACTCAAGATTAGTTTCTAAAGGTCAAAGGTAGCGCTCGTATAAAAATACGACCCCCGGTACTCACTTATCTCTGGTATTTTTAAAAAACACTTACTTTTTCTCACAGACGCTACACTGATGGCTCTTGATCCCACTGTGTGTCTTGTTATGTGCCGCTAAGCTGGTGTACCTCGAAAACGCCTTCCCGCACACCGAGCAGATAAAGGTCTTCTCGTTGGCGTGTGCCCTCATGTGTTCCAGTAACCTGAAAGACTGAGCGAAGGACTTCTCGCATATCTTACAAGAAAACGGCTTCTCGCCCGTATGAGTCCTCAAGTGACGCGTGAGGTCGTCCGACCTGGCGAAACCTTTGCCGCATTCGCTACAGAGGTGTCGCTTGGCCCCGTCGTGGACTTTCATGTGACGGCATAGGGTGCTGGCACTGGCGAAGCATTGTTTGCACGTTTTGCAGAGATGGCGGGTTTTTTTCAGGTGACTCCTTGCGTGAATCTGTACAATTATTTTATTTTGACACAAAACATATATAAAAAAATTCATTGATAGTAGAAACGTGTAGTTATGGAGAATATTTAAATTCAATTTACCCTCAAATCCGTTTGGGTGGTGAAACAATGCGTGCACTCTTCACAGGGGTAAATAGGTTGTTCGGTTTCATCCCTCACACCTTTTTTCTTAAACTCCTTACTTTCGGTTTTAAACTCACTCTTGGGTTTCATTTCAATCATTTCACTGCTCTGATCTTGACCGGTGTCACTGTCGGCGTCGTTTTGTACTAAAATATCGTCAAAATATAAAAACTTTCAAAATAAAAGTTGCAGATTGTAGTACCTAAAAACTTACATGCTGCGTTAGTTTCAAAATGATCAAACTTTATATCTAAATCATGTGGTTCTTTAAATTCTTTTATCTCGAAATGATTGGGAACCATCGGTAAAATAGAACTGTCATTTATTAAAGCTACACTGTTTAAAGTTTCTGTAACAGAAGGCAAAGTCTCGGATACTGTTGAAATGATGTCGGTGACTGTATTTGATACTAAAACGTCGTTGGCAAGTAAAGGTTTTAGTTCTAAGAACGTTGTTTGAATGGGACGACCCAGTAATTCTCTTAAGGTGTTTTCAGACCTCTCACAAAGCTGTTTGAAAGAGAAGGCTCTCGTTATATAGTGAACACATTGGAAACATACTTGGGAAGGCAAGCCGTCGTTTTCCATTACCTGAAATTTTATTAAAATAAGTTTATTGAAGCCATAACAAGAGACATCCTTTGGTTTACCTGCACTGAAGCACAAGACATAAGCATCTCAAATAACCTCATAGTTTCTCCTTCTGCTGGGTGTATACTAAATACAGATCTCATATTTTCTTCTTCTGATAAACAAGTTCTACAAATTTTGTTTATATGGATTGTTTCGTACGACATTTTAGGTTTGTTTATCTTCGATTATGAAATAAAAATTTCTAGGTTATTGCAGAACTGACGTTTGTCAGTTGTCAGTGTATGTTCAAATCAAAAATCCACCAGCATCAGTTTTACGAGGGTCATACGTTAGTTAACACTTGTCAGATACAAGTGTTGGAAAATGTGTATAGTAAAAATATACATAGAAACAATAAGGATGTCACCCATTGTGGTTTTATTATTTAAATTGTATCGAAACAACGTCAATACAATAATAACATACACTTGATGCTGCAGTTTTATAAAACAAATAATTTAGAACCAGACGAATTGCATATATAATAATACACGTTATTGAAAAAAATCGCATATTATCTCTCAAAATTTATTGAAGAATATATTTAAAAAAATGAGGTTTCAAGGAAAATTATACTCAGGCTGCTCAAAATTTAGATAAAAACGTCGAGAGGCACATATTTGCATTAGCTGGAAGGTTGGTGATCTGAGTAAACTTCTGCGTTAACATGGCAGGAAAACACGAAAAAACTTTTAAAACGTGAGACTTCGTCATAATTATAAATATGTTGCGTAACAAAATAATTATTTTGTTTTTCTTAGTAAAACGGGTGTGAAAATTCGATCGTGCTCTCGAAATGCCCCTAGAGTAAACAACTTTCGCATTACGATAAAAAAAAATAGAAAAAAGAATGTAAGTATCTATCTTTGCCTTCAAAGTTTATTGAAAAAACAGACATCAGAAATGAATTTAGGAGAGTTGAAATAGTCTGGTAGAATTATTTCAGATCTTTTAATCCTCTGAAAAAAATAGGTGGTGATATCAGTTTTTTCTCTACATTTGATCATTTGACAGTTGAACCACCAAACATAGACCGGTTTGGAACGTATTTATCTTCAACTGTTTACTTAGATGTTACAGATATAATTCAATGTTGGTCGAGCCAGTTATCCCGCAGAATATCCTGCAATATCACATTAAAAAAAAAACAGGTTCGCCTAGTTGGCAATAGGTTATGCTTTCATAGTACCTGTGATATTACAGGTCACTGTAGGCCAGTGAAGGGTATATGAAGTCAAAAACATTGGGTAGCAGTGGTTATTGAGAGATGTGGCATTCTGATAAGTTCAGTTCACAAATAATTACTTTTTTGGGACACTATTTGTACCCATTTGTACGTTGAATATAGTGAAATGGAAAGTCAAAATAATTTGCTTAAAGACGATTCAATTTCAAACATTTAGATTACATTAAATTACATCATTGTTTATACTTTTGTCATTTTATTTAGTCACACTTTGCAGTTTTATACATCTCTTATTTTTATTATTGCATTTTTGTTTTTCTCTTTGTAATGCGACCACTTTTATGTTCAATTTATTTATCTTTTCCTTTTTATATCCGTTATATTGGCTTTTGCAGTGTATGATAAATAAGTAAATAAAAGTCGGTCTGAAGAAATTATAAGGTATAAAAGTATGACTGTACCACAAATATTTTTTTATTCACTACTAAGGCCTGAAATTTCCTGAAGTGTAACTGGAACCCAACCAAAACGTTGTTGCATTAAAATTGTATCACATTAATTAGGTTTATGCAGCAACGACTTTTTTTTGGGCGGTCATTTTCCAACGCAATTATTCACTTCATAGCAATTCGATTACATAAGCCGCCGTTCAAGGTGACGAGCGGGAGCTTTTTTAAACAGCGCTGGGCTGCACAGCCAACCTTCATTTTTCCGAAAAAAAATCCAAAACAGAATCGCGGTTCCAGTAAACAGCGCAAATCAGTCCGAATTGCGATAAGTTTCTCTCTCTATTTCATGGTCACGAGTGTTGTCGTTTGTTTTTTCGTCTAATCTCAGATATTAGAGGAATTACAAGATATTTCTCTGACGCTGTATGTTCAGAGGAGCGTAAACTGTATAAATAAATTTAAATTACTGGAAAATAGCTCGATGTGTCAGTAGTGTTCGGACCGCTCGAGAATGGTGAGTGCCCTGTATAGATTTCCATCTCAAGGATCTGGTTCGCACGTCACATAGTTGGTTCGCCTTACGATAAACCCGGAAGTTAAAAAAAGTTTTAATAGACAGCGAGTTTGCTACCAACGAATATGGTATACAATACAAAATACGATGGTTATACAATGATGGCTTTTTCGAAATTCTCTTTCCAAGCGAAATTTGTTGTGACCGAAATTAAGAAATTTAAAAGTGAAATATTTTCTTGGTACTGAAATACCAGTGGCGTACCTATGGCTTTTAGTTCTATAATTTTTGAAACATTACAAAATTTCTGTTTTTTTTTGGAATAGACAATTTGCCGTTTTATATCTTTGCACATACAGTGTGAATTGGGATGACTTTTTTAAAGGTTTTTAAGACGCGATTAGAGTATTTTTTTTATATATGCAGTAGATTTATAGAAGCACTCGTTCAACCAGCTACAATAATGCTTATTTTAAAGTAAAGTAAAAAGTAATAAAATATACACTAATGCAAACAATTAAAGGGTCAAAAGAATTTCCGAAAATTTTCCGTGATTTTTGACAGACCGTATTTAGGTGAAAAATGGTCATATCGGGAATTAAAAAAAGCATTTTGAAGCTCTTAGATTCTAGTTTTTAGATCTTTCGGTCGAAATTTTTTAGGACCTACAAATTTTTTTGAAAATTAACTCCAAAATTCGATTTTTATGAAAAAAAACTGATTTTCGGCGCAAATGTGGTCCTACATGGCGTAAGTTGATGTTTTTCGAATTTTTTTTCAGCTGAAAATCTTCGTTTCGATAAATACTACAGAACTGTCTGCGTGAAAGTCGGGAGAAAAATTTTTGCATATTCGCAAAAACGGTCATAATGTTCCAAAAATTTTCGTGGAGAAGCGATTTTTTAATTCAAAATTTCGCAACCTGGGGAAAAATTAGATGAACCAAAAGATGTTTAGAATCATTCGAGATATACTCAAAAAAATTTTCCAGAATTTTTGGACACATTTTGGGACATTTCAAAAAATGTCCAAATCAAAAAATTTTGAAATACTTAAATCCAAAAATTCTGGAAAATTTTTTTGAGTATTCCTCGAGTGATTCTAAACAACTTTTGGTTCATCTAATTTTTTCCCAGGTTGCGAAATTTCGAATTAAAAAATCGCTTCTCCACGAAATTTTTTGGATTATGACCGTTTTTACGCAGACAGTTTTATAGTATTTATTAAAACGAAGATTTTCAGCTGAAAAAAATTTCGAAAAACATCAACTTGCGCCATGTAGGCCCACATTTGCGCCGAAAATCAGTTTTTTTTCATAAAAATCGAATTTTGGAGTCAATTTAAAAAAAAATGAAGACCGAAATCAAAAATCCCAAATGAGGGATCGATAGGGACATTCAAGACAAACATTTTGAAAAAAAATTCACCCGAAACAGTTGAACTATGTGGGGTGTAGAGTAATTTGAATGCGACAGTGGCGTTTCGTCCCACTGTGCCTAGGTCCTAAAAAATTTCGACCGAAAGATCTAAAAACTAGAATCTTAGAGCTTCAAAATGCTTATTTTTAATTCCCGATACGACCTTTTTTCACCTAAATACAGTCTGAATATTTTTTCATTCTCTTCATAAAAAAGCGTTGAAACAAAAAAGTTTTGAGGCATTATCTACAGGCCAATGGATGTTTCGGAACTTTAGACTTAAGGGATTCGCGTCAAATTTGAAACAAGAATACGAATTCTCTAACAGAAAGATATTTTTTTTCAAATGCACTCGTTATTTTTTATTTTCCGAAAAAATGTTATAAAACCTTAAGGCATTAATTTTTTGAGTAGAATAGTTTCTTAGGATTTTTGCTCATCCGGACACCCTGTATATAACACCTTCTATGTACAGGGTGTCCCATTTATACTTTATACAATTAAAATGTATGTTGTCAAATTGTAATTAAACCATAGTAGTATACTTTTACATGTTAATATTTTTTAATTTATTTCCGCCGTTTTATGTGAACAACGAGCTTAACTTTCGCTTTTTATATACATTCGTATACATTTATTTGTATTATTCTTTGGGGTTTCTAAAGCCTTCAGGGTGTTTAAGAAATTTCTATTTTTAACATACAAGGTGACCAAAAATAAAACCTCGTATTCTTTGGTGAATTTTAAGGGGAGTCTTTCCTATAAAGTTTTTATCTAGGACGCCTCTTTAAAAAGATACAGGGTGTTGAACTTCAAAAAATATTTTTAATTTTTTTAAATAATTGGCAAACTAGTAAGTGAAATAATTTGAAATTGAGCACATGCATTTATGTAAACATTGTCCCAAATCTGAGGGCATTTCTTATAATTTACATGCTCCAGTGGCGGAGGTACAAGGTATCGGTGGTATATTTTTCTAAATAAAATAGTACGCCACTGCTTTACGGTACCAACTATGATATTTTCGGATTCGTCTTTCGATTTTGTACAAATTACTACCCTCTTATGTTTTTCGAAAAAATTCTGATTTTCGAGTAAAATTTAAAAAACGAACTGAGAACATACTTCGATATCGAAAATATTTTTTCGAAAAACATAAGAGAGTAGTAATTTGTAGAAAATTGAAAGGCAAATCCGAAAATATCGTGGTTGTTACCGTAAAGCAGTGGCGTACTATTTTATTTAGAAAAATATGCCACCGAAGCATATGCCACTGGAGCATGAAGATTTTAGGAAAAGGCCTCAGATTTTGGACAATGTTTACACAAATACATATGCCTAATTTCAAATAATTTTACTAACTAGTTTTTATATTATTTAAAAAAATGTAAAATGTTTTTTTTTTGAAGTTTAACACTGTATCTTTTTAACAAAGCGTCCTAGATAAAAACTTTATAGGAAAGACTCCCCTTAAGATTCACCAAAGAATACGAGGTTTCATTTTTGGTCACCATTCGTGAATCACCATGTATTTTTCCTTCAATTAAATCTCTCGGGATTAAAATGATTTGTACGTTTTTGTTAGAGGCGTTTTTATGTGTAATTTTCAATGAATTTACAGGTCTTTTGACGAAAATCTAAGCAAGTTAGAAACAATCCGTCTTCACTGTACCAGTTACACGAGTTTTCAACATTTTTATAGTTTATAGATAGATTTTGTAGTTCTATCATTGTCTTACTAAAAGTGTGGTTTCTTGTCTATAAAAGTTCAGGCTTAAGAGACAATTGATATTTATTTATTTTTACCCGATTTAAACATAATTAAGAAAAATGAGAAAAGAGTTATAATGTTAAAAAAATTAGAGTGGTGTCTTGGTTCTTAGTGTCGCACAATGTGCATTTTGTAAAAACTATTATAAGAAAAATTAAACAGCGAAATACGTTTTACAATGCGTATGTTGTTATTATGCGATATTCAACATAGACTTTGTGGTAGATACTTAAATACAAGCCAGCTTTCTCCGGATATGAGCGTCTTCACTTTGCTGTCTCCTCACACAGTTTAATTTAATCAGCCAGTATAGAAAGTAGGTATCATCCGAGGAGATTTAGTTTGTGACATAAAACCGAATAAAAACATATTAATGGAAAAAGAAGGTTATCGTTCCAGATGGGTACGTAAAAATATTAGCGGCGCTGATAAAGGTGACCTAAATATTATATATTTTTTTACTGTTTGAAGATTAAGAGACAACCATTCTAATTTGTTTGCTTTTCGTGATAATTAAGTTAAGTTCAAACTAAGAACAATTAATTGGTGTATTTGAAAAATCCCGAGATTTAGTTAAAATCACGGTATTTTTTGTTTTCTTGTTTGAAATGTTAAACTGGGATTTGTTTACTAAGCCTGTACGAAACAATGAGGACTTCTCCGTTATCTAAACTTAGGAATGTATTTATATAGCGGATCTTAACGGTATTTAAGTTAAATAACAGAAATTTAAAACTGTCGTTTAAAAAATCGTTTAACGTAGCCATTCCTGTCGGCCAATCGACAAGCAACTTAGCACAACTCGCGAATTAAAGGAAAGTGAAAGGCATACTGTGTCACAATTTAGAACGGAAATCTTTTTTACAATTTCTTTTTTCACTCAGCCTGACAATGTCAACGGTTATTTCACTTATTGCGTTATAACCAATCTAATGCCATCAATTTTTGACCAGTCGCGCCACTATTGTTGTGACAAATCTTGAGTCTATTCGCCGATTGGTAAGTAACTGAATTGAAATTTGAAAATTAAAGTAAATATGACAGTTCCTGAAATTATTCTCAAATAATATCATTCGTTTGCGGAGACGTCAGGTCAGGCCTATGGAATGTTGATCCCTTGAATTTAGTTAGGCTTGCCATAGGCGTAGGACCTTAAATGTTGGTAGTAGCGAAAAAATCAAAGGGATAAAAATTGTAGAAAATATAATTATTTCCAACTTTGTTTATGCACATTTATGGTCGTATAGTCAATAACAAACGAGATAATTCAATAATTATACTTTGTCACTATTTTCTCCCTTAACTTGAAAAATATCGATCGCACGATAAAATTTGTAATAAA